CTGGTCAGGGTTTGGAACTGTGGCCTGGTTTAAGTGAAAACCCACTGATCGGCTAGATAGATAGATAGATAGATAGATAGATATGAACAAACTGAGAAAGTAACATCGAACGGAGATTGAACTCCTTAACTAAATATCTTTGCGCCACATTGCTCTGCAGCGGACACCCCCTGAAGTTTTGCTTACATAAGCAGAGAAATATGCATTTGTCTATGTCTATCTCGGCAAGTTATCGTGGTATATTATCCAATCGATAAAAATAAAACCATAGCCATAATGTCAAAGTAGATAGATGAATGAATGCTTACATTATATAAACGTCTCCACAAGACATTCACATCATCCTCAAAATACCATCAATCAAAAAAATAGAAAAATTATTATGCTTTTCTTTTTTGTTGTTTTTCTCGCTATCAAATTAAACCCATTTATCATTTTTTTCTTGCTAGTCATTCTAAAAAGATTTGAAATGCTTTCAGATGATAAATCGAAGATTGTTAATCTTAAACTGAAGTAGTTGCATCACTTTCCAACAGTGATTCCAGATTTTAATCCATGATTGATGATTTTGAAAGTCTTTTATCATAATTTCAGCCCAAATCAGCTGTTTCAGTTTTTTGCAAACGTTACCTTATTCTTCATCCACATTGTCTCCGAATTCCTCTCAGCTTCAATTTTATTCATGTCCAATTTGAAGTCACACAAGTATAAAAACTAAGAACCATGATTAGCGATCATTCCCCATTATTCTAAATGTTTAATAATCATCATCATCATCAATTATTCAGTCAGCGCATTTTGCGCCGCCGCTGTGATCACCACTCTCCTCTGTTGTAATTATGGTTCATGGTGACATTGAAGGCAAAATAGTGTAATGGCTTTGCCGATTTCTTTTGCACCGGGGATGTTGAAGTTCTTCCGCCTACCGGTAAAGCTGTTGACGTCTTAGCCGCAGCTCATACGCCCAGACTAACCCATGGCCGCTTGGCACAGGTTGGTTAGGGAGAGATGTTTCACCAGTCGAGTCGGAAAACTCTGTTTAGCCGGTAGGTTGATGCCGTTGAACGGGGTGTGGCTAATGCAGTACCCATGAGACTTCTTGGAACCATGTGTAACTGTTGTATGTAGGCCGTGGATCAGTACAGTTTCGCATCCCAATTCACCTGAGTAAAGCAGAATCGAGCGCTTTGCTGAACTCGTCGTCGTCAGCATCCATCCGTCTCGAGCCTGGGCGGGATATATGAAGAACTAGGGCTGCCCGGACGTCTAGTTCCCCCTCTCGGCTTTGCTAGCAGAGCCCAAAGAAGAGGATAAACTTTGGTTCCAGCCCGGCTGCAGGAGTTGACGGAAGGTAGCACAAAGTGCCGTCCATCCGCCTTAGGAGCTCCACTCTGGGTTTGAATTCAGAGTTGTCCTTCTCCTAGACCAGTTGCCATCCAAGGCTATAGAACCCTGTCTGTCCTGCTATTTACCCATAGTTGAAGGGAGAAAAAGAGGATTCACACCTTTCCCAAGGCACGTAAGTGAATGTAATGGATTCGACTGGAATTCGAACTCGGCTCTCCGATTCCTCAATCCAAGCCGCTATTCATTACCGTGCTTCCTTGCTGAATTACCACTGACGATACACCCCATGCACCCACAAAGTTTAATAAATATCATAATTCTGATAATTCTTTCATTACATTGTTTGTGATTGAGACAGTTAACACTTACGTAAGAACATGCCCATATATCAGGAGGAACTGTTCCGTTTTGATTGCGAGTAAAAACAGAAAAGACATATCAGTGACGTCGTTTGGTTTCAATGAGACAAAGAAAGAAAGAGAAGATAGAGGAGGCGATAACTCTCTCATGTGTTTAACGTCTGCTTGCGTGAAATGAAAAACCTTGTCAGTTTTAGTTTTTTTTTTTTCATTTGTACCCTCTTACTTCTTTAAATAATAACCTGCATTTATGCTTTGATTTTTATTGCAATATTTCTTTAAAGTTGTTAAGCTCAAATATTGAACGATGTAATTACCTAATTTCCACGAATATTTTATAACCGTGGAACTAGCCACGAGCTTATTTATTTAATTAATCATTTCACCCCAAGGAAGGCGGGAATGCCAATAATACGCAGGGAGTTAGATGGAGTGAAAGTGAGAGAAAAGACTGGTTATAGGAGGGATTAAGGAAAAGGTAAAAGCTGAACGGGATCCAAGAAGATAGAAAATGGCGCTTGATGTTACATTGAAATCTTTGAAGATTATAGCTATCATGGAAGCAAGTAAACGGAAGGGAGTTTCACTGTCGGGAAGTGCGAAAAAAGAAACTGTCTAAGTAGAAGTGACGGCTACATTTAACTAATTCAAAAGTAAAAAGGTGCGACCTAGATGGCAATTTAGTAGCCCACTTAAACTCACGTAGCCCGGGAACCCGGGAAAAAAAGCTCGTCAGAGCAGTTGCCATAAAAATATGTATAGAAAAAAGAGAGGGAAGCCAAGTCACGTCGATGAGAAAGCGACTGAAGTCGAGATGTCATGTCAGGATCTATTATATTGCAGATCCCTTTAAAATATCATGATCCTTTATAAATATTATGATATAACAGAAAATCCAGATAGGAATACTTAGAAATTTTCAAGGGTACTATTAATTTAATTCTTTGGAAATACTTATTAAATAATAAGCTAATAATTACTTAAAGCTAAATTATCAATTCAAAATATATTAGTCTTTTTACAAAGCGTTGACATATATGTAATTCAAAATTCTTGAAGGAATTCTTGAAATTTATAGATTTACAGAAAGGCATCGTAAAAATTGAAGTTTCCCTACCTAGATTTCAAGTCAGGATTGATCATTCCCAGCTTTTGGGCATATACATGCTTGTGTAGACATTATTGCTAGAGGCAATATATATATATATATATATATATATATATATATATATATATATATAAAAAATTATTTCAGTTTAAAATTATTTCAGTTTAGCGTTTTTTCATATATATATATATATATATATATATATATATATATATATATATATATATGTTTATACTTAAAAAAAAATGATACTTTCATAATGTTTTGTTTTAATTTGGAGGTTCACTATTTGCCCATAGCTGGGACCCTAACAGGTACTGCCACTCAGGGTCAGGGTAGACCTGGAAACAACAGCAATTAAAATTCAAATCAGGAAACTCTTAATTGAACTGAAACAAAAGTCTTTATTTTTTATATTTGCTATGTAAAATCTTACGACCATATCATGTTAAAGCACTGGTTGTCGTCCAATCACAGAAGTTAAGCAACGTTGAACCTGGTCATTACTCAGATGGGTGACCGCTGGGCAATATCAGGTGAAGTAAGCTAGGCGACAGGCCGTGCAAGCTGACAATGGATACAATGAAGCTACTCATACAAACAGAAGACCCCGATATCTGGAGGTCACGAGACCTAGCTGGAGGTTGATGAGCTTGTTTTCTACGCGATTTTTGTCCTCCAAAAGATTAGTAAGACAAATCTCCAACTTATTTATTTTCAGCTTTGCATATAATATTCCGAGAATAATCTGTTGAATTTCTAAAAACATGCTATATGTATATCAACCCAAATCAAAATCTGGAGCCTTCTCATTCCCACTGGAGAAACTCTCCCTGACTTCAGTGATGTAACCGTACTCACAACGATTAGCCAATTGCTGGTGGGTGAGACTACTTAACCCATAGTTGTAGGTTTTGAATTCAGATTTGTCTTTCTCATAGACCGGTAGCCAACCAAGGCTATAGGACACAGACTGCCCTGCTATTTACCCATAGCTGTGTAACTATATATTCACATTTTTAATGCCATGCTCTTTCGGTTAATAATTCGATAAAAACAAAAGAGTACTGAACAGTTATGTAATACCAGTTCTCCGATGCGGCAGTGTATGCTGGAAAATCTCTGCACAAATGAAAAGAGACCTGAAGGAACTTAAATTTAGTTCTACAGAAAGATGTTGAGAATACCATGGGCCGAACATGTGAGCAACGACGAAATTTGAGAGAAAATAAAAACAAAAAGGACACGTAGACTTAACATCAGGTAGAGACAATTGAAATCCCATAATGAGGAAAGAGGGCTTGGAAAATTTGATACACACATGACAGATTGAGGGCGGTGGGGACAAAGGAAAACAACGCGTAACCTACCTAACGAGTTTGTGTAAAGGACAGGGTTTAGAAGAAATAACATTTATGGTGAGCCATGATCTGTTTCTTAATACTTTGCTTATCTTCTGGAAGGCATATTTCGCTATCTAAATACGCTTTCAGATTTCAGTGTCGTACTCCGTCCTCTGTTAAAACAATTCCCAGATATTTAAGTTGTTGTAATTCTTTGATTTTGCTATCTCCAGTTTGTAATTTGCATGTTGGGCTGTCCCTTTTGCTAACAAGCATTCATTTATTACAATGAAAATAACGAAGACTTGGTAAAAAAAGTCAGATTTATGTCGATTTTTTACGTAACTGACTTTAGTATCTATATTATAAAATATTGAATGACTAAAAAAGACTTCATTTTTGTTTCTTGCTATGCATTTCCAGTTGTATGAAATGAAAATTATGCATTCTGCAAAAATTCAACTAATTTATTATTCGAAGTCAATCTATCGTGACGTGTAATATTTTGGCTTGTATTTGCAAGCATTTAGTTATCATCACAGAAATTAATATTTTTTAAAAGACGATACAAAATGGCCACAGTCTCATTTAATCGTGTCCAATCACATCGTCTCTATCTGAAAGCATGAAATAAATTCGTCTCCATTTTTTTTTCTGGAAACCAGTTTGTCGGTAATACCGATTTCCATTGGTTGATTTCTTTTATTCATATCATGTGATCTCTGAGTAATTACAGCCTTATTTACTTTCCGGTAAATGTTAATATCAAAGCCATCCATTTTGAGGGATCATTTCATTTTTTTTTTCTCTTTAAAATTCTTAATAATTTATTTATTCGATTTTTTTAATTCAGATTTTATTTCCTACGCTCTTTTCAGAGAGATACTCTAAAATACCATGATCAGACAGTAATCCCCAAATTTCATTGGGGATGTGCTGGTGGTACTTTCTCTGCTAAAATACGGTAATGGTGAGATTAACCGTTTCCATACAGGAAACATTCGCTATTCATTGATCGTTATTGTCGCTTCAAATTTATAAAGTCTTTCTCTTAAAAAAACTTTCTCTGGAAAATAGGTTTCTCAAGTCCACTAATTGTTATTGCTCTTTCTAGTACGAAGAGGATTTTGCTTCCTAACCTTTTATTTGAAATAGTATGGAATGTTAATATCTTGATTATGTCATTATTTTCTATTCTAGTTATATGTACTATCCATTTTAGCTCTGTTTTTTATTGATTCTTCACCTAGTCCCAAGAGTCACTCGAGTTAGAGATTTACTAAATTAGGTTGTTGTGTGATCATGACTAGGTATGCAAGAAGTGCAGATTACGGGGATATGTAGGATATATAAAAGCTGACATTTGAAGCGTTTAAGATTAAAACTATCAAGAAAGCATCGCCTCTGGAGTCTGTTCTACAAAGTGGTGAATCTAGGGAAGAAACTGGCCGAATAGAACTTCTTACTTACTAATGGAATACGAATAGAATAGGGATCATTTCACCCAGTGTATGTGTCATGGCTGGTCATCTGTGAAGGTCTGAACTGGTGGATCTAATTGTTAAATAATAGTTTAGCAGACTGTTATTTTTTAGAGGAAGTGTATCTCCGCTCCGACTTCCTACGGTTGACCATGGAGCCAGATACAAGCCATTTGATTGGCTGAGCTAGCGGGGGAAAGGAGACGGGAGAAAGGTTTCAGCGAGTCAAATTGTAACCATCAAGCAATGTAGGCATGTTCTCTTTCGTGTCTGAAACGGCTCCCCGGTGAGGGGGGGAACGACTCCCACTAAATGTCGACGTTAACAAAAAACATCTAGCCGGCCAAGATAGAAGATGCAACATTTTATCGAATTGACGCCGTTGACCTCCCAGCATACAACATAAGGAATGTAGCACCTTTGCCATGGAAATAGCGATAGAATAGCTAGAGGCTAGCGATGTTTTGTCTGTGGGAAAAGGGGTCGTAGGGTGTAAAATATTTCTTTCTTCAGCACAAAACCAATCAATTGCACCTGGCCCTACACCTCTTTTTTTTATTCACTGGCTCATGTCGGAACACCCGTCTTTATGGCAATGGTATAAAATTTCAAGCTAACATGAACTAAATTTGGCTTCTTTTTTTTAAATATAAAACAATGTTTTCTCCCTTTACTGCGTTCCTTCCCAACACTAATATTGAACGTTCATCTTTTTTTTCTTATTCTATTTATCCCGGCATCCTGTTTACGTATGCTGTTGTCTGCCTGCCTGAGGAAAAGACCACTAAAGAGAGCGTATCTAGGGGCGGCAAAGGACTTCCAATGCATCACACACATTAAGTATAAACGCTATTAACAATGCTATTTTGATTTCAGCTCGTGGCGCCTAAAGCAAAAAAAAAAAAAAAGAAATGATGCGTATCATGTGGAAACCAAAAGACTCTTTTCAAATTCTGAACAGGCTTTTTTGTTTTTCTGATTCAGGTTCGAAGTATCTACCAAAGAAGCAGCCAATCCGTTACAATAATAATAATAATAATAATAATAATAATAGTAATAGTAATAATAATAATAATAGCCCATGCGTTTTTCGATTTCATCTAATAGTCATTTCCAGTAGTGGGCTTCTACTTCTGTTAAATGTCGGGAAATATTCCTGTATTTTGGAAATTCACGATAGCAGTGTGAACAACTCTTTTGCCACAACCTACATTAACACTAATGTTACGTTCAGAATCGCCTTCATCAAGTAAAACCACAATTTGGGCCATTCGTGTAGGCGAGAGCTTTGTCCATATTCTAAGCCTAATTCACTACATAAATATTATCACAATGGCTGCTAATTTGGCAATGACAAAGTTTTTGGTCATAAATCATGTGTGAATAATAGCTGATGCAATAACAAAAAGCAATTGCATCATGCAATGATGATGCAACGTAATGCAAAAAATGTGTAAATAACCTTGTTACAGCTAAGTGCTCTTAAACTTTTGTTAATGAATGTAGATAGAGTCAATAAATTAATAAAACTTATATCGACTTTCCTTATACTTCAATGTTCGCCGCCGCACCACTCATAAGGCCAAGATAAATCTATTGTATTATTACTATATATATATATATATAGATAGATAGATAGATAGATAGATAGATAGATAATATTAGTGGAAAATATACATACATATGCAAAATATATATAAAAAAATGCCCATACATGTATATTTTCAGAAAAAAAATTTCCAAGAGGAAGAATCCAGGTAGAACTCAATGTCTAGGACAGAGTAAGGATATAAAATTATATATATATATATATATATATATATATATATATATATATATATATATATATATATATATATATATATATATATACAGGGTCCATAAAGTTCGTGTGCAATTTAAAAAATTTATAACCTTATTTGTATTTGCGATAGAAATAATTTGTAAAAAGGATTAGAAAGAAGTGAATATATATATTTTAAGGGTTTATTGAAATTTTATTTAAGTTTCCACATGTCCCCCATCATTAGCAATACAAAGGGTAATACGATTTTGCAGTTCATAGAAAACATTTGCCAAGTGATTTCCAGTAATGCCTGAAATCACATTAGTTATTTTAGCTATACTTAAAACTAGGTACATTAAACTTTATGAAACTTTTACAGATTATTTCTATCGCAAATACAAATAAAGTTATAAATTTTTTAAAGTACACACGAACTTTATGGACACCCTGTATATATATATATATATATATATATATATATATATATATATATATATATGAATTACATAAAAATGAAACTCACTTGTACCGCATTTCGGGGGCAAAATGACCGTCAAAATGGGGTACAATTGAGTTTCATATTTATGTAATTTATTTATATGCTCTATAATAAATATATTGAGCCTTCTTTTATGGATCATTTTTAATATTTTATCTTATTAGGATCTACTTACATTACTTAGCCACGGATTTTACATACATACACACACACACACACACACACACACACACACACACACACACATATATATATATATATATATATATATATATATATATATATATACAATGTAATAATCAAAACACGAGGAAAAAATCACAATACCAAAGACAAAACAGCATTGAAGATGGCTATAGAAGTGGCCGGAAGCGCTTAGGACAATGAAAATTATGGGTTATTTTTGTACTTACTTATTTCTACTAAACGGAAAATTGTAAGTATGCTGGAAAAAACGTGATAAAAAATTAATTAAATCTTACTTGTCTACCATATTTAATGACAGATTTTTGAAAGAAATGTTGCTGTCCAAATATACATTAATATATGTATGTGTGTGTATAAGTGTGTAAAGGTCTTAAATGAAAGCTTTTTGTTAAGGCTCTTTTTTATCAAACTAGAATTATAATACACATACACACATGAATTATAAATACGAACGCTGCTTGACAGGACAGGTACACACGAAGTCTGCTTAACCAATGGAAAACAAAGAACGCAAAATTAAAAATACCAGAATTTTCTTTTCTCATCCCTAACTCATTTTCTATAAAGCTTAAATAAAATACATGTTAAAAAACATGTTAAATTTATGTTTGTTATTTGTTCCTTATACTACCATTTTGTCGGATTTTTATCCATATCAGATGTATATTTGATCCCAAGCCATATACATGAAAACATATATATATATATATATATATATAGAGAGAGAGAGAGAGAGGGGGGAGAAAGAGTGAAAGTGAGTGAGAGAGATAGACAAACAGACAGACGGGGATATAAAAAGAGCACAAAAAAAAGAAAGAAAGAGAAGCCAAGAGAGAAAGAGGAGAAAAGATTGCTGCCTACTAAGCATTCAATTTGCGCTGAATTGAAAGAACTAAAACATCTACAGTTGAAAGAAAAAAAAAGATAAATGAAGAAAGATGAAGAAGAAACAAGAGAAAAAGTAAGATGAGAGGAAGAAGAAGAATGATGAAAAAGAAAAATAAGAAAGATTTATAAATTAGAAGAAAGAAAGAAAGAAAGAAAGAATAATACCCGTTTGAATCGTATTAGATAACGTGTTTTTGACGATATCACAAAAAATAAGAAACGACTGAGGAAGCTCAAATAGTACACGAGTGAAACGTTGTAAAGAACAACACCACAAAACAAGAAAATTAGTCGGCTGGTCGACCGGCTGTTATATCCTGGTACACATATTCAACTTATAGAGCGAGGCAATTCTGAGAGAACAGGAAATCCTACCAGGATTCATTATTGGCAGGCAAAATCTTAACAATATAAGATATGCAGATGACAGTGCTGATAGCAGACACGGAAAGGAAATTACAAAACCTTTTACAGAGAGTAACGAAGGAGAACGAGAAGAAGGGACTAAGCATAAACTACAAGAACACAGAATGCATGGTCATCAGTAAAAAGATGAGACCGAAATGCTATTTACAGGTCAAAGACACTAAAAAACAAGCAGGTACGGAAATTTAAATATCTGGGAATTGTTCTGACAGAGGACGGTAAGTGCAATGCTGAGATCCGAAGACGTATTGGGATGGCCAAAAACGAATTCCAAAAGCTAGGCAGAGTCTTATGAGACATGAGGGTTTCGTTGGTAACAAAGAAAAAAGTACTGATATATGTCCTCCTTTACGGCAGTGAATACTGGATGGTCTCCCCAATGATGAAGAAGAGACTCGAGGCAACGGAGGTATGGTTCTACAGAAGGATGCTAAGGATACCATGGACCGAACATGTGAGCAAAGATGAGGTTTTGGAGAGGATGAAAACAAGGAGGAAGCTTATACTTAATATCAGGAAGAGGCAGCTGAAATTTCTGAGAGTTAATGAGAAAGGAAAGCTTGGAGAATCTGATACTCACAGGGCGGATAGAGGGTAAGGGAGACCAGGAAAAGCAACACGAGACAAAAGGCTTAAGCAAGTGAATGGCAGAACAAGGTCTGGGAGAAGTAGCATTTATATCTTGGTCAGCCTGTGAACTTTTCAGCCTACCTTCGTACAATCACGAACTGATGAACAAAAAAATTGATAACTAATTCTGTGATTTTTATTCTCTGGCATTTACTGAGATAAAACGCTGACTTTGATGCTGTACTAACATCTTTTGTCTAAAAAATTCCAGTAAAAAGCAAAGCAGACATTTTGCAATAAAGAAAGAAAAAGAAAGAAATCCCAAAGCCAGGTTATAACGGTCATAAGCCACCGTTTTCTCCTCCTTGGTATGTCTTGTCAAGTAAAGGTACACATTTACAAGAGAAAAACGTTAATTCTGCAGGCAACTGTCAACCAATCATATCTAATCTCTTACTACGACCCGTTGCCAAGGATACACCATCCTTCTAAAGCTTGTTCTTATAAAACATCGCTGTTCAAATCGATTTTATTTCCAAAAAATCAGGACTGTCCACTAAGCCGAATGTTACTCTTTCAAAATTGTCAACCGTAAGAATCGTTTTGTCTTGACCGAAAAGACACGTGAACACAAAACTGTCACTCAAGCAAATATACATTAAGAGTGGTGGTATTCAGGACAAAAGCAATTTGGAAACAAGCCGAAGAAATAAGGATAACAAAGCCTGAAGAAGTGGCGTCTCGTTCGGTAAAATAGCAAAACCAAAAACATACAAAAGATAAAAAAAAAAAACTTAATTAAAAATGTTGCCTGAGATGAAACGTTTTCGTTAACTTATGACATGTATTAGTATTTTTCAATAGGTTATGACTAGTAGAGGTTTTTTTTAGTAGGATATGATTAGTATAATAATACATAATAATACATTTCAATAGATTATAACAAGTATCATAAATCATTTTCAGTATGTCATGACTAGTATCATAAAAGGTTTTTCGTATGCTATGACAATATCATGATAATTTTCAGTGGGTTATGACTAGCATCATAAAGAGTTTTAGTAGACTATGACTATATATATATATATATATATATATATATATATATATACATATATATATATATATGTAACAAACTGGGAAAAGTTGTTGCGCGTTTCGTCCTTCAGAACCTCATCGGACTAAATTTGTTATGTTAGTACAAATACGCATGCGCACGAATGAGAGATGATGGGAAATTTAGATTCTTTTGTTATATATATATATATATATATATATATATATATATATATATATATATATATATATAGCCGAATTCATACTGAGGTGTCTAACTTTTTCGAAGTGGGCCAGATCTGATGAGGTGAATATGCGTGAGGGTCAACCATTCTCCATGGAATTTTTAACCATTAAAAATTAAATGCAAATTTAATTTTCTTATGAAAATTTTTACTGTAAATGGCATATTTTCATTTCTTCATATGGATGATAAATAAATTTAAACAAGTCTTACCAAAATCAATCAGCCTGTCATATCTGAAGCCCATATAAGATGAAATAAATAATGTCTAAGAAAAACAACTTCCAAGAAGCTATAATATATCTAACATTAATCTTAAGCATGACATATTATTGGTAATTAATTTTAAGTTAAAAACATACGAATAGTAACATAACATTAACATACATCTTATTAAGAAATAGAAAACATAAAGTGACTAAAGTCTAAGTGTTAAAATATTGGATTTTGACCAACACAAAACAAATTTAATTCACTAAGATTTTAAAATTTATTCATCTCAGATAACCAAAACAAATTTGCCTGCACTAAAGTGAAGGTTAAAACTGAGATTTGGACTGCAGTATGTAGGTCCGGTCTGGTTCAAAGGCAAGAGTCTGGTTCAAGGCAAGGGTCTGTTTCAAAGGCAGTGATTTTAGGAAGTGACAGGAAAATGCCAAGGTCAGAGGGCGGACATACAGTGCCGTTGCCATCTTTTGATTTCTTAAGTGTGTACTTTACATACTCTGATGGAAAATACTGGCGGGATGTAATTCTATGACAGGAAATGGAGGCTATATAAAATTTTACCGAGGGCCGTAATTGACCCCCGAGGTCGGACAATGGACATGCCTGATTTAGAGTCTTTTTCTTTCCATCACGTTTGTTAATAGGTATCCCACTCTGTGATAATAGCTTTTCCAGGAATGTTGAAATGTTGTAAGAGCCAGGCCGCAAACTTACTGTAGATGACCTTGCGATCAAGGTACACTCTAGACATTTACATCGTAGTGAACTGTTTTCTCCGTTGATCACAGTAGCAATTTTTATGTCAAAATAGTGATCAGTCTCGTTTGCTTTGTAAAATACACCTATTGTGTTCATATAGTCTTTTATTTAGATTCCGTGATGTTTCTCCTATATATTTTTGTAACAATTATTACAGGCGATGCAGTAAACTCCTCCTTCAGGTTTTATTGTTTTGTTTAGTATTGACTCCGTCTTTTATTGCTTTGGATGTAGCAGTAAAAATAATTATGCTGAATTTAGATAATTTTTTTTCCGAATGTAGATGTGATAGAGTTAGTAGGATAAGGAATTTTTTTTATTCATTTGGTTTTTCAGGAGGAAGCGTCTTTTGTTTTGTAAAATTTTATGGGCCTTTTGTTTCGCATTAAGTATAAAATAATTAGGCTACTACAGAAGTTTGAAAGTGTTTTCAATGTATTTCTCGTTTTCATGTAAATAATTCGGGATGCTTATTCTGAGTGCTCTTAATTAGAATCCAATGATTATGCCGGATTTTATTTTGTTGTTATGATGGGAATAGAAATTTATGAGGTCGTTTTTGTGGGTTGATTACAGGTGGACACCGAATTTTAAATATGGTGTAGCTTGATATCTAGGAAGAGTAAGGAATTGTGTTCATCCATTTCCCATATGTATTCTATTTACCCAATATTCTTCTTGATATATAAAAAAATATATTATATATATATATATGTTAACATCAAGTGTCGACATTCTGTTTCATGCCTGGATTCGATCTTCAAGCATGAAGATTTCGTTCAAGCATGAAACAAACTGTCGCAATTTGATGTTGACATCAGTATCTTTTATATTCTAATACACTCTATTCTTGATATTGAGCACTTTTATCCAGAAATATAGCATATGGTAGAACTATATCTTTATCACATATATACCCCCTCCTTCCTCATATTAAATATTATAATAAAAAGAAATATAAAAATAAATTTTAAAACTCTCCCTTGCCTCTCTAAACTCAAGCATGTCTCTCACACCATCGCTACCTTCTATGTCAATTTATATAAGCTTAATACTGCCCGTCAAAAATGTAAATTTTAATTTCATTTTTCGTTTCACCTTTTGAAAATGATGTCTGAAGATCCAGGGAAAAATAAAAGTCCCTGGTGAAATAAGTTATTACAATGGAGCCTTAAAGTGGTCTATTTTTCTTTAAATTAAATTGAATATATATATATATATATATATATATATATATATATATATATATCACTGCTACTAACAAGCAGGAATTTTTTTTCTCCTGATGATGACCATGATGGGCGAAACTAGTCGAGGAACCTAATTGAAATAATAAAAAAAATATATATTAATATAAAACCCAATGTGTCTGAAAAATTTAATTTTTTAATTTTTCAATATTTTATATATATATATATATATATATATATATATATATATATATATATATAATTATAAAACTTATTGCTTGATAACTACTGTACAACGATAAATGATTACTTACTCCATAACAAGTCCGTCTTGCAGACTTCTTAAGGATTTCGATTCTCATGAAGTCCAGCACAGTGTTGGCCTTGTGCTGTACTCGCCTCAAAGTAATTAATACCATAGATAGCTAGGTAACCAATCTTGCCTTAGCATCTCGAATTCAGTTACTTTATCACGGACGTGACGTGACTTCCCTCTGTTTTTTCTACAAATATTTTCATGGAAACTGTTCTTACGAACTTTTTCCCCTGGTGACACGACTACATGAATTTAATTTTTGACTCTAGATTGGCATCATTTTCCAACCTTTTATTGTTGAAATAGTTAAATACAATCACCACATCTTCTTCAACAGTTTCTTTTCTCGCACTTTGACTTCCCAAATTGTCACCAGGGGTCATTCTCTCTATACTACAAATAATGGGCGACTTCTCGCATCGTTCTCTTTTTCATTTCTTCATTTCAGCGACTACTATGTAATCTCTCTTAGAAGATCCGCGTCTTCCCATTTGTGGGAGACGCCATGAACATTATACATACACACACGCGTACGTACGAACATTCACCAAAGAACAGACACCAATGTTTACACACATACAAATGTCATTTTCCATTGTAAAATTGTTTTATTTAATACATATATTTGTTTATATATATATATATATATATATATATATATATATATATATATATATATATATATCGGTTTTGTTTGTCTTCTTTATCTTCAGTTGGACTTAATTCAAGTCCGACAATTTTTTGTAGTTGAACCTTTTAATATTCTACCATACAACAATATGCAGATATATATATATATATATATATATATATATATATATATATATATATATATATATATATATATATATATTATATTAGAATGTATATGATATCCAACATCGATAACACTACCAGAAGTTTCATGCAGTTAATGCAATCTTCAGGTGTGAATTCTGACCGTTATCTATCGTGTTCTCGTGATGGGGATTTAAAATTGGCTGTCCAAACTTGTCTATTTCAAATATATAATTAACTATTAATAATTTATATTGTTCAAATTCATAAGTTTTAAAGTTGGAAAATAAAAAATAAATTTTTAAAAAATTAAAAGAAAATAATTTTAAAAAAATAATTTGAAATTTAAATTTGGCTTCTGAATATAAACAATATATCAGGGGAAGTATGATACTCTCGTGTTTTTAACGTAATAATCCGGAGTTACATCCATGTTTATATATGTACATATACATATATAGATAAAGATGTATACCAAGAGAGCAATGCGTAAAAAGGTAGCGAGGAAGCCGAGATGCTGAAGCGGAATCTTTATTCTCTTAAATAAATAAAAGAATGTTGTTAGATTCGGAAGTATCTAAAGCAGCAACAAAAAGAATTGGCGCAGCTGATATTCTTGAGTTGATCACCGGAAAGTGATGTCTTCTGCCAGTCGAATGGAACGTCACTGATTATCATTTCGAATTGTCGAAAGGCAGCCACAAACACAAGAAGCAAGAAATACACACACAAAGAGAGAAAAAGCCAATTTGATATCTTGTGTATATAATCAGATTTTAAAGAGAGAGATTTATATACCGTTAAAGGAAAGAAGTCAGCTAAGTGGAACCTTCCTTCTTTTGTTTGTTTTTTTCTTCTGTTTTTTTTTTATTATTATTATTTATATCTGGGTAGTTATAGATCACCACAGCCTCGTTTTCACATTGAAATTCCCCAAAGATTCGGCAACATATCGAACGATAATATTATCCAAAATGGATAACCGTTTTGCCTGGTGGTTTAGAGAACATAACAATGCATCGTTCAATTATAATAACCATTATAGAATAATGACGATGAAAACAGGTCTAATATGATGCGAGGAGAATTCTGTTTGGTGGGATTCAAGGGAAATTCTCCATTACTAATTACTGTGATTTAAACAGTTCGATCCGACAATACCCAAAGGACATGTTTGAATAACACATTGAAACATAAATAAAATTCCCTTGAATAATATAGTCGACCATGTGGCATTTTTTTTCTATCTGTTTGTCATTATGTTTTTGTGCTTATAAAATCTGTGATTGCCATGTGGTATATATATATATATATATATATATATATATATATATATATATATATATATATATATATATATATATGAAATGAAGAAAAGAACAGTAAGATATATAATACGGTGTTCTTATTAATATTTTCATTTTTTTAAAAAAGTGCTCAATGCAAATCTACAAAGCATAAATATAAATTTAATTATTTAAAATATGGTTCCATCGCTACACAGGAATTACCATGTTTCAAAAACAGAAACTGAAAACTTCAAATTCAATTATAGAATTAAATTAAAGTCCTTAGTTCTGTTTCATTTTCAAGCGAATTTTGGATTCATAATATTAGTTTCTATGGATATGGGGAAATCCACTTATTTTAACAAGAGTCGGTAGGGTATTCTTTTTCACTGACTACTATTGTATCAAAATATTAGTTACTTTCGAAAAGAGATTAAGTCTAGGTAGGGTAGGGGTGCCTTTTTAAACAAATGATGACATCCGTTCAACGCATGTCGCGTGGTCTTTTTCAACGACAAAAAGTTTTTGGCACTTTTGTTTCGCAGTTAAATGTGTATTTGTATGCATAAAGATTTTTTCTAAAAGATTTTTTTTGTATATGAATACTTCGTATTGAACTACAATTTTAAAATATTATTCTTAATTTTAATTACTAATAGACTATACATCTTTTAAAACAAATAAATGTAATAGAATCACTTGAATTATTTAAATTATTATTAAATATCAAATATAAATATGTATATTTCATTTATCAGATTTTTTTAATTATATATTACTTAAGGAAACTTTTTGACAATGTCCGCAAAGAATAACTGTTTCATTTCTTTTACTGAGTAAATTTTTATTTGTATAAACCTAGTAATGTATAGTTTCTCATGTATGCACAATAGACATGGGTCATTTCATGACCTAAATATTCTAGCTTTTCTTATTAATTTCACAGTTGGTGTTTTATTGGTTTCTTGTGTGTGCCAGAAATATTTCGATAGGGACGTCTGATTCTGGTATTTATTTATCCTAAAAGAACTCTGATGTTGGTTAAACTGTTTTTTGAACTCTCAAAAGCAAAACTGCTCTCTATTAATCACCACAGAGATCCTTCCCTGCCTTCCATTAGATTGTCTGACGCTCAACTTCTTGAGAGCACCTCTCTGCGGCTGCTCGGTCTCACGTTGACTGCTGACCTGAGATGGAACAAATACATTGAGTCAATTGCTTTGTCCACCGCAAAGAAAGTTGGCTCGCCGTCGCCTCTCTCTGTCTTTTTTACAAATACTTTAATGGTAATTGCTCCGAGGAGCTGCATTCGCTGGTTCCTAGACTTCATGAATTCAAGCGCCCTACGAGGCTGGCATCCCGCTCTCACCCTTTCACTGTCGAAACTACTAAATGTAACCGTCTCTTCTACTCCAATAGTTTCATGTCTCGCACCTCTCGCCTGTGGAACTCCCTTCCCTTTTCCTGTTTCCCTGGAGCTATAATCTCCAACTATTCAAATGTAATGTCAATCGACATCTTCAGTTGCCTTGATCTATCCACTATTCTTCTCCTCATCCTTTCCTCTATCACTCCTATCTGATCTTGCTCCAAATCTTCTATAACCCCTTCCGTCCTAGTGGCTTCTCGCCTTGCTTGGGGGTGAAACGCTTAAAAAAAAAAAAACTTATGTCTTGTGCATCCAATGTAGACTTTTACGATGTCTGGATCCTCAATAGATGAGATATTGCATTAGTACGCTAATGATTCAGTGCGACATTTATTATTAAGAAGACAGTTATGAGAATTTCTGCAGTTACATAATTTTTGTTTATCTTCTCTTTTTATTATTATACTGTCTAAATTTCTTTGGTCATTTTTCTAAGTGTTTATTCAAGATATTAGCATTATGTTTCTTAATATTTTTTTTGTAAGTTTTCAGTACAGCTGTAACTTAATTTTAGGGTATTTTTATTGAAAATAGTACTGAGTTTACTATCTTTAGGAAAACGCTTAACGATTAATGCAAGAAATTTTTGTCCTAATTTGTTATTTACCATTTGGTTGTATAGGGGTGGATGCCAAATGATTTTTCTTCTGTTTTTTCTATGCTTTCCATTTTCCTTTTTTATATAAGTTAGTTTTGGGCTTTTGTAGCCACTATCTGTTAGAGTTTTATTATAGAAATTAATATGTTCATAGAAAATCTTATATATATATATATATATATATATATATATATATATATAAAAGATACAGAATTATAAAATTTATCGTCTGATAACTACTGCAGATAGATAGATAGATAGATAGATAGATAGATAGATAGATAGATAGATATGGACAGGCTATGATAGATAGATAGATAGATAGATAGATAGATAGATAGATAGATAGATAGATATGAAATAGAATGAGATAGATAGATAGATAGATAGATAGATAGATAGATAGATAGATAGATAGATAGATAGATAGATAGATATGAAATAGAATGAGATAGATAGAACCTAGGAACAAGCTGAAAAGAAAGAAAGAAAGAAAGAAAGTAAATCAGAAAGTGAAATATATATCAATAAACGTAAGAGCCTCGATAAGTTAACTTTGCTGGACTATTCCTTTGATTATTTCATTGATTCCTGTCCACTAATATTTTGGGTTTAGGACGGTAAATGAAACAGAAGAGAAACATTATATTCGTTGTGATTTACATTGATTATTTCGAACCTATGTCGGGGTCCTTATCGGAACGTTTCAGTCAAAACCGTCCAGACTCGACAGAGTTCCAAAAAGCACAGCTCAGTGTATGCTGAATTGTTTTTCACCCTACAACCTCTCGCTTCATTTATGTCAGATGTTCGGACGAACTACATTGCCTGTTCAGACCTTCACAGCTAGAACTTTGCCGAGCCACGTACATCCTCATTCCCTACATATTCCATTCTTGAGAAGGAAGTTTCATTCAGATAACTTCTTCCCCAGAACCGATGCATGGCGCAACGGACTAGAAGATGCTTCCCCAATCCCTACGATCTTAACAATTTCAAGTCGAGGGTCGATCATTATCCTACATATCCTCATAATAGGCACGTCTTATCTCTTACAACAATTTGATTTAGTAACCCTCTACATTGAGTGGCTCTAGAGTCTCGTTTAGGTGAACATTAGTACAACAAAAAAAATCCTCCTATTTTCTCCTTCTCCCTTCCCACTTCCACTTCTACTTTTTTCTCCTATTACCTTTCCTCTTCCTCCTCCTCCTCATCATCATCAACATCATCATCTTTCTTTTTCTCTCTCTCTCCATATCCTTTCCCTCTCCCTCCTTTTCTCTCTTCTGTTACTTCTTCTTCATCACTCCCTCTTCCTCCTCCTCTTTTGCCTCTCTCGTTGTATATTGAAACAGCGAGATCCACTTTTTGACAGTTCTCGTTATGTCTTGCCTATGAGTGTAAGTCTACACATTTAGTCAGCACCTTCCTCAGTATCACAGAATCCTGCAGCGCCGAGATCTCGACACCTTTTACATTTTCGACTTTTTATTTCATTTCATTTTTTTCCTCACTCACAGTTCAAATACAACAACGTTTATTGTCGCAGCCGTAATCATTAGGCTTCCCGCCGAAACAAATTCATTTCCTCTGTGTTCCCTAGATTAGAAGAAAGTTCCACTCAGACAGTTTTTTTTCCAGGTGCTATTACTTTATGCAACAAACTCACAAGAAGATGCTTCCCCGAACTCTATAATCTTAAGCTCTTCACTTCACTTCCTACGACATGCTCTTTCATTCGTATTACACATCGCATTTAATAACCGTTCAACTTGAGTAAGATTCGACACTTGTATTGGTTGAATTCTAGTAAATGAAAAAAAAATGTCTGTGCTCCCGGGAAAGGTCCGTGTATTCTTTCCAATTTATCATCAGTTGATGGTCATATTTCCGATCCAGCCAGTGTTTTTTTTCTTCTTTTTTTTTTGTCTGTGTGTGTGTGTGTGTGTGTGTGTGTGTGTAATGATCAATTGTTTTCTTTTCACTGAGATGAAGTACCAGTGTGGATGGCAAAGTGCCAAAGAATTTTATTCTTTTCATTTTCAAAGCTTATACCATTTATCTACATGTCAAGCTCAAACTACTTGCAGAGTTTCCAGTGCATAACTGTTCCTACCCTATCGTCTTTTGAGCCAATTTACTAAATTCACTTATGTGGTTGATTCTTTCGGCTTTTTTGTTCACATATGAAACAGCTGTATTTTCTGTCCTTTAGATTTTATATATTTTGTATTGATGTATTTTGATTTGCGCTACAATGATAAGGGATTTTGTATCTTTCTTCAGATGTCCTCTGCGTAACCATGTCTAATTTTCTTGTTTTTCATCTAATACAAGGCCGAAGAGCTACTCAAGCTAGAAGGTTATTGGCGGTTGAATCAAGGCTTGAAGAGGCTTAATATTGCAGTGATTAAGGAAGCAGCCAATAGGGGTTCTGTTCCATAGAGTAGCAGTTTTGAAAAGAAGCTGTGTGAATGAAACTTCCTCCTTACAAATGGAATACGAAGGGAATAAGCATGATTCAACCCTGTATACGTGGTATATTCGTCCTTAATAATGCCCGTCTGACTTCGTGAAGAGTTTTCTTTTCCTATCTTCCTTCCTTGTGGGCTTTTTTTCCTTGTCCTGCATTACTTGATATTTTTGTTTTTCTGCTCGTAGATTTCATGATAATTTTACTGCGCTGTTTTATGCATTTTTCAAATACGATTTCGGTCAATTAGTCGTCAAATCTGATAAGGTATTTCCGTCTTTCATTGTTCATTTGCTAAATAGTCAGTCGATATTGTATCCAGAACGCAGATCCTTTCGTTTAGATATTAGTCTTCTGATCTGCTGATTCATCAATCTAAGTACCCCTTGTTGTCCAGCCACAGAAGGGTCATGTAGGCGGGACTTATGAGACATGCCACATGTCCATCCGTTTTAACAAATTTCTTCACAAGCTCCATCATCATCATAATCATCATCCATTATTTGGAGGGAGAGGAAGGGGGGGAGAGTGGGGAGGTGAGGTGTATAATGAGTGAAAATATTTTTTCTCGACATTTCATTCTCGGAAAACTACAAAGTGGTGTTTTTTGAAAAGAAAGAAAGACATTTTAACAAAAAAGACGTAAAAAAAACATTTTTACAAATCAAGAAGAAAACGGGATAACGCTAACGTTTCTTTACAATGAACAGCAAAAATAAAAGAAATATCTGCGAAAAGCTGTTGAGTTTTATTTCCATTAAGAGCCCAAAACTCGGGAAAATGATAAAAGAATTAAAAAAACGAACAAAAGAGAATGTGAAATTGGAAGAATAAAAGAATAAAAGAATGGATGAATAAAAGAATTAAAATAAAAACAGTGTAAAAAGCGTTAATGAATCAGTTCAGACAGTGGCTTCGTGGAATTATGACAAATGTTTATTTCGGGTTTGTTTAATTTGATTTCTTTGTTTTAATGTTATTTTATTTGTCTGCTTTCCAACTTTGGACGTGTCTGATTAACAAGCCTCTTCAATCGCTTGTTGAGAGAAGCTTTCTCAGAATTTATCAAAACAAAATGCGTTTTTAATATCACAAGTGCTTTGCAACAACAGTAAATTTCATTATTTAAGTGCTTTCTTTCATTAAGGAAAAGGTACGTTTCCCTCTCTCTATTCTTCTCTTCTCTTTATCTCTCTCTCTCTCTCTTTCTTTCAGTTTCCCCTTCTCTCTTTCTTTCTTTTCCTCTTTCTACCTCAGAATCTCTCTTTTTTTCTTAACACCTTTTCTTTCCTTTTCTGTCTAATCTCCTCTTTTCCTTTTCCTTCCCTCTTCCTCTTTCTTCTTCTCTTTCTGTTTTCTTATCTCCCCCCTCCTCCACTTTTTCTTTTTGTTTCTCATCTTCCTCCCCTTCTTTTTCTCCAACCTCTCCTCTTCTCACCGTTCGTCTTTCTTCTTCTCCATCCCCTGATCCTTCATGCTTCTTTCTTCTTCTTCTCCTCCTCCTTCTTTTTCTTCTTCTTCTTCTTCTTTTTCTCCTCCTCCTCCTCCTTCTTCTTCTTCATACTTTACATCACCTCATCCTTTTTTTTTCTCTTTTTCCTACTGTTTCTCTATTCCTCTTTTTCTTTCATTCTTCATCATCATCATCATCATTATCATCATTTCATTGCCTCCCCCACCTCTTCCCCTCCCCTTTTCTCCTTCTCCCTTCTCACTTGCACTTCTTCTTTTTTCTCCTATTACCTTTCCTCCTCATCCTCCTCCTCCTCATCATCATCATCAACATCATCATCTTTCTTTTTCTCTCTCTCCATATGCTTTCCCTCTCCCTCCTTTTCTGTCTTCTGTTACTTCTTCTTCTCTCCCTCTTCCTTCGCCTCTTGCCCTCTCCTTTTCCCCCTCTCCCTGCATTTCCTTTCCCTCCTCATTGTCTTCTTTCTCCTCTTCTTTTTCTCCTCCCTTCCCTCCTGCTTTTCCTCCTCCTTATCCCTTTCTTTCTTTCTTTCTTTCTTTCTTTCTTTCTTTCTTTCTTTCTTTCTTTCTTCTCCTTTTTCTTCACATCCCGCTTCTTCTTGCTCCTTTTTTTTTCCTCTTCACATTATTTCCCTTAATTTTTCTTTTTAGTTCATTATTTTTCTTTAGTTTTTCTATGTCTTTTGCTTTTCTTTTTTTTTTGGGGGGGGGTCGCCCTCTGTTTTCTTTCTTTTGGTTTCAGTTGCCATGTCTTTTATATCTCCTTTTCTCTCTCTCTCCCTCTCTCTCTCTCTCTCTCTCTCTCACACACACACACACACACACACACACACACTATTTTTCTACTTCTCTGCCTCTCAAAATATCTTTCCCTTTCTGGACATGTTTTATGTACCGATCTATGCTTGTTCCCCCTCTCTATCAATTTATCAGTCTCTCTCTTTCTCTTCATCCGTTTTTGTTTTTGTTTACTTCTTATTCACTCTCTTCTGTATCTGTTTTTCTCTCTATTTCTGTTTGTGTGTGTGCGTGTGTACACTTTTTCAACCACAACACTAACTCAATGCAATTTGCCTTTAATTCGTTTTCTTCATCACTTCCTATATCTCCTCCCTTTCTTCTCTCTCTCCTTCTCTACCCCTCTCTCTCTCTCTCCCTCTCCCTCTCTCTCCCACACGCGCGTGCACACACACACACACACACTCGCATACACATAGTGACCTACTTGACATTTCTTACCTAATTCAACAAAGATCATTTTTCTTTCTTTTTCTTGCTATTTTCCTACAACTCTCTTTCTCCCTCTCTCTTTCTCTCTCTTTATATCTATCTATCTATCTATCTATTTCTCTCTCCAGTCTTTCGCGTCAATATTACGGAAGCTTTTCAATAAGCATCTCGAAAGAGGTTGTGGTTAACGAGCTAGTCTAAAAGTCAAATACTACTGTGTTGTGTGAATAATCCACACTTATGACCTTGTGCCAGACTAAGATTAATAAATGCGTGTTAGTACTGTGTAGTTAGATTTATGCTCAATGGATGCTTTATATTATTGGCCTTATACCAGACTTAGCGTGTGTCTACCTATGACCTTTCAACAGGTTAAAAACTTAACTTTCCCGCTCTTTCGCTTCGCCCACTCATTCATTCTTCCTTCCTTCCTTCCTTCCTTCCTTCCTTCCTTCCTTCCTTCCTTCCTTCCTTTTCCTCCGTTCTCGCATTCTCCCAGTGTGCGAGAGAGAAAGAGCAGTTTGGTGAAATGGATTGCATCAGGCTTACAAAAGACTTAAATTTATAAAAAGCCACTATAAATAAAACTGGGTTAACATAATAGAATAAAAATAAAATCTACGTCTTAGGCGCCTGCGCATACCATTGGCGCGCGCGTTCTATAAAGGCCATAACGTCACAGGCAGCAGTAATACAAAGTTTTACAAATTGTCGCTTTTGTTTTTATTTTGCAAAAGCTGAATACAAAGCGACATTTGTTAACGTTGGTCTTGATTTATTTTTTTATTTATTTTTTATTTTTTTAAATTACAGCACTTGGGTCAGATTGAAGACGGCATCAGGGAATATCACTAAACGTTCCGCTTCTGGCAGGCGATTGGAAGGCAACTTTATTTTTTTTATTTCTTTGATATTTAAACTGTTCTTCCTTTTTCGCAAACTTTATTAACAAACCTGTAAATTCCAAATAGAACAAAACTTTCTTTTACGTGAGTCGTGAAAAAAAACTGATTCCCAAAGTCTTGATTCGGTGCAATTGTCATGTGCCGTCTTAGAAATATTGAATGTATAGTTTCATTGCCTCTGAAGGTCACTTCAACATTCACCACCCCCACCTCCAAAAAATAAAGACTGTAAACAAATTTGAACTCTGTCAACGCTGGAAAGTGAGGATTGTCTAGCTAGAACACATGGGGGGGAGTAGAGTGGTGTTAGAACACATACGGCAAACACTCGGTCTATAACTTGCCTACGGAATCTGGTAAATAGTTTCATTGCCTCTGAAATTCTGCAAGAAGAATTGTGGTAGTATGACATGAACCAAGACAATCACAGTGAACTTAGTGTACATTACTGCGGGTACTACCATGAGTTTAGCACAGAGCTACCTGTTGTTCTTCATGTTCACTTAACGATTTTAAAAAGCTTGTTATCTCCGAATCACTATTGTTGTCGATTAGTGCTAAGATCACAATGTGCCTTTTCTTTTCCTGTAATCAGATAGGAAACTGATATGTTGAAGCTGCAAGTGACATATATCAGGTTTGGTAAAACCACAACCCGAGAACTACATTTAGTTCTTTTAAATTTAACGTGCAGCTCAAGGAAATATTTTAACTGGGTTCATTTTCTCCTCATATTTAAAGTAAAATGCAAATAAAAACAATCCAAGTCTCATGATTATTTACTGGTTAAGATCTAAGTAAATAAGTTTAATGTATAATAGCAATATGTGGCTTTGTACAGAAAGATGAAGAGCAGAGAAGACGGGACTAGACAGAGATACGGACGTCATTCCTCCCCGACTAGGGCAAAGGAGGCAAATTAACCTGAGGATAGGAGATGAAAAGAAACTGTATTTAAGTTACAATCTGAAGTTAACTGAAATTTCTGCCCTTTAGCCAAATGACTGGACAGACATGGCGATCACCACATGTCTCAAGTAGGAAATGAAAAATTATAAAGAAATATTGAAAAAAAAAATCTAGTGATATGCCCAACAGGAATTATCCTTACAAATTGTTTATAACAATATCAATAATGTTGATTATCATTATAAGGATTGTAAGCACTTCCGGTCTCACTGTGAAATTCTGGGAGCAAGCGGTTCAAGCAGTAGTTTGGTTAAAAATAGTTGTTGAGTTTGTTGGTGTCGTCTTTGTGATGTTTCAGCTTTTTAGTGGCCAGTCTCATATAATTTATCTCTCCACTATAAGCTGAGTGGAGCCAAGACATTTTGGCTAGTAAAAATTTTCAAGAATTAAAATCCTAAATCTAGATTTGGATGAGGCATTGTTTTTCACTTCCGACTCTGGCTAATGTAATAAAAATAAAAATATTTCTGGTGATCACGAGTTAAAGAGAAATTTTTATCTTGCGAATTTCAAATATCTTACGTTTATCGTATATGGTTGTTACATTAAGCCAATCCGATCACCACTGACGCGTATCGTCAATTGCTTATTTTATAATTAAGGAAATTCGTTTTAACTGAGACAGAATAAGAATTTAGCCATCTGACTCAAGCAACTGTTTTAATTATGCAGAGCAACACAGAATCAATTTAAATACATGCTATTAAAATTATTATTGTCGTTCTTTCAGTCACTAGTCAAGTTAGGTTCATTGAGAATGTCACGAGAAAGCACTTGAAGACTTAATAAGCAACTCTCATCATTAATACAAGACGCGTTCCTTTCTAATTATGTTGATATTGTTATTGATAAAAGACTCTCTCAACCAGACGCCATTAAACAAATTTAATTTCATTAGTCACCAATTAAAAAGATTTTACATCATTAATCTTTTACTCTTGGATAAAGCAAGTAACACAGGAATTTACATATCTAAGGTGTGTCATTTCTTCTGTCACTAATCTTTAAATTTCTGTCTATATTTCTGAGATGAGGTATTATGTACACTATTTACATTATTCGGACTCTTGTCCTCATCTTTGTCGCCATATTTGAATTTGTTGGTGTCATCTTCGTGCTGCTTCAGCTTTTTAGTGATCAGTCTCATATAATTTATCTCTCCATTATAAGCTCAGTCGAAACCGGTCATTTTGACTGGTAAAAATTATCAAGAAATATTTATGTACGCCTTGTATGCACAGGTTATATTTTTTTAATTTCGTTTATGTGAGATACGAATTGCTACTTTTATTCCTAATCAAATCAGGGAGCCATTCCTTAGTCATTTGTCCGTCAATTAAAACTTTTAAAAGGTTGACATCATTTTCAAAGTTCAGTGTCCCTAAAACTTGTCTTAAATGGATACGTGGCATTTGTGATTTGTCTGAAATTTTGATAAAACATAACAAAATACTGTCTGCATGCTTGTAAGAGACTTGCTAATATTTTTTTAGACATTTATGCTAGTCAGATTATTTTTACTTATTTCATTCCAAGCAAGACAATAAAGCCACTAAGACGCAAGATCTTACTGAGTGTGTCAGAGAATATGAGGAAAAACATTATTATAGAGAGAACAATAAAAGAACAAGAATTAAGACAGAAGACAACGATTGACATTGCATTTAAATTTTTGAAGATCAATGTTGACTGGGAAGACAGAAGAGAGTTACAGAGTCGAAGAAACTGTTAGCATAGAACTTACGGTTACATCTAGCGGCCATTTAAACCATAAAATGTTGGCACCTTGCCACCAATCTAGTACTGCGCTTAAATTCATCAAGTCTCGGCACCACAGAGGAAAGTCGATAAATTGTTAATTAAAAATTATTTGATTAACTTATAAAAATGAAGCAAAAACTTGTGTTAAATGTATGCGTAGCATTTGTGATCTGTCTGATATTTTGAGATATCATAAGTACTATACAGAATGTTACCTTCACCGGAATTTTCTAATTCATACGATACAAATTACTTTTCCTCCAAAAGTTTCTGCTTTTGTCCTAGTTCCCATATAAAAAATTATGTGTTTCAGTTGATTCGTTTGTTTTGTTTTTACGGTTTATCACCCGTTATCTAAAACCGAAACATACTTTTTGCATTAACGATGTTTTGGAGATAACAATAATTTTCCCAGATACAAGTCATACTATTTTACCCATAGCTGCGGGGAGAAGGAATGGATTCATACCTTTCCAAAAGGTATCTGCGGGCAAGTGAATTTACTGAACTCGACTGGAATTCGAACTCAGCTCCCTGATTTCACGTTCCGAACCGCTTTCAATTACACCACCTGCACATTGTCAGGTCACGTTGGAGGCTACCATAATGGAAACACTTAATCTGGGAATGCTGGGAAGACGCATCGAGGTTGTCCTCAAGGCCGGATATTTATTGAATAACTTCCGCTGATCTGTAAGATGAATATATGTACAAATACATTAGAAGAAATATACTGATTTATTATAATGAATATTTTTATTTATTTTTTTTTTCCTTTTATAATGT